AATACTTTGAGATTCAGCACTTAAAAAACAACCTGCATCACATTAATTATTGCAGTCCTGCTAGCTGAAAAAAACCCAACCCTTTCCTTTATGAATCATTTTCCTCTTAGTTAATTTAGAGCTTTAACTCATTGGAACAAAAGGGATTTTTCCTATAGATGAATAGGACACAGGCTGTTCTGTAAATTGCTACCAGGTACACGTTACTAACCTGGGGAAACTCTCACAATTAGTCTGCCTTGGTTTACTTCACATGAAAAACAAAAAAAAGTTCAGTATAAAATATCAAGAGATGATTTGACATAGGGGCAAATTCTGCCACCTTCATTCCACTTAAGAAGAAACCCAAGCTGTAACTAAACTAATTAAAATAACAGAATTAGCTACTAATACTATGAGATGGAATTGGACTGACAGTTTTTCATGTCATACAGTGCATCACACACGGTCAGTCTTGTCCTGCGCAAAGCACGTGCCCAGCTGTATAACACCAAGGAAATTCAATGTTGATGCATGGATCCCAAACACCAAATTACTAATGCCCACAGATGAGAGCTATGGAGCGCCTGGGTCTCCTGCGCACCTAAATGGGAGCTGCTACTTGCTCAGCCTCTAAAGAACTTTCCTCTGTGTGACTTTTGGTAGGACACTTAATCTTTTGACCTCCAAACACATGTAAGATTAAGAGTAGGAAAAGACTCATTCCTATTTTCAGCTGTCATACCAAATTCAAGAAGACATGCCACTTGCGCTCTTGCTTTCCTTAACTCCTCTGATAATAAGTAATATCCCCTTCCCAGACCAAACATTTGGAAAGAATTCATGAAGCAGACCTTTAATAAGTGAAACTCTGGCTTGCCTAAAAACAATAAATCCAATAAACAACAGGTTGCACTGGGACTATACGCAGAACATGCTGAGAAGTAACATGCAACACGTAAAAGCAAATAACAACTTAATTGAATACATATGGGATCAGGACTTAAATGTGGCTGAAACACGAGCTATTAAATCTATATTCATCCTGGCTTGAATATCAAAAGTGAATTCATTTAGCAGCAACCCCCACTAGGATTTCACTGCTCAATATATTTTTATCACTATGCAGTTTGAGCAATATTTTTGATCAATTCCTACAATCAACATTTGAACGGGGTGGGTCATTATTTCTCTGCTGGCAAAACTACTTCTTTAAACCTTGTTAATCAATCTGCCTGGTTTAAGTTACTGCGCAACTTACGCAGTCAGCTGTGCAAATAGCAGGAGTCAGAAAGCAGCTTCTAGAGACACTTGGTTGGCATTGCCACTTACATGGAACTCCTCATCAGGAGCAAATTCAGGTTAATTGTGGCAGGGTGGACTGTTAGATGCCCTCCGCTAGCAGATGCCTTGTTTCATTAGCCTGGGGGACTTCAAATCCCCAGTCCTTCCTGAGAGTTCTCCGCTGATAACACCTCCCCACGCAGAGCAGTTGCAGTTAAATTGTTTACTCCTGCTTGAGACGGTGGAAAATTACTGACGTGCCTTCTTAGGGTCACTTTGCTTGCTAGGGAAGTTTTGATAATTAGAGACAAGACTGTTTGCCCTTCTCCATTATCCTGGCAACTGCAGATGAGTTATGTTAAAATGACTGGATCTTGTTTTCTCTAGCGAAGCAGCACCCCATCACACCAGCTCTGCATGTGGTGCGCTCTCTGCTACAGCAGCAGTCAGTACCTGCAAAAGGTGGGAGACCGTCCTCGAGAAATGGAGGTAACTAATGAGGGGAATGTAATGGGGCACCTGGGTATCTTCATTAATGAGTCCTACAAACTGCGGATCTACAATTGGATTCATTCTCTTACTGTACCGATTTCTGTAATGCTGATTACTGCAGCAGCTGGGCATTTAATTACCCACAAATGAGAACAAAACCAAACCAGGGGAGACAAAATGTCACAGTGCTGCAAGTTGCCCTGTGAATCACTGGGTTTCACCTGCTTTCGAGCACAAGAAATGCCAAAGCTGGGGCCACTGAGCCAGGAAAACTGCTGCTGAACAAAATGATGGTTGTCTCCACAGTGGAGCCTGCAGAAAGCACCTGGATGGGATGCAAAGTCTCCTGAGGACACTCCTTCGGCAGGCAGGGAGGCTGGATGTGCCAACTCACTGTGGCTGCGAGGGAAGGGAATGTGACAAAGGAAGATGGAGAAGGGGAAAAAGCAGCAACATCGCATAGTGATTCATGCTGGGACCCAAGGGAGGACAAAGCCCTGCACTCCGGACAGAAGCACAAATGTAAGAGATGGAAGATGCATGTTCTTAACCCGTTTTGGTGTCCCTACCTGATTCACTCTTCAAGGATATTCCACTGATAAGAATACACCAAAACTTCCAGCTGCAGGTGAGCATGGTAAAAAAAAAGAAGACACACCTTCTCTCTCTCTCTCTCTCTCTCCTCTCTCTAAGCAAAGCAAATAACACTATCATATTAAATAACACTACACTATTAAAACAGTAACTGCAAAGTACCAGTTCCAAAGCAAACTTAGGAAATGGATGGCTCTGCAAGGAGCAGAGGCTGGCAGACAGCATGTCCTGCCACACTCCTGCTCCCATAGAGGAAATTAATGAGGACAAGTTTCCAAGGGATACTTACTGCATCTCCACTCTAGGTTACTGCTGGGGGATGGAGAAGATGGACAGACTGGTAGTACAACCCCGTAAGTTGACTTTGCCTAGGAAACCCAGTGTGATGGCAGACACTTGGAGTGTTCAAAGCAGGCTACAGAGGTTTTCACGTTAGGCAGAGGTTTTTAAACCTGGTCTCTCCATTAGGCAGATTCACTTTCCTTGTGCTTGAACTTCTCAAGGCAGAACAGATCAATAAAAATGATGTTCTTCTGATCTGCAGTCGCTATTTCAGGTGCCACACCTGCCACTATAAATGTCTTTGCAACTACATCTGGGAGAGATTCTCTTCCACAAGTCAATTTTTAGGATACAACATGTCATAATTACTCAGTTCACTATTCTGATAAATAATCTGTCAGAGTATGAAAAAACTCTTTAGTGTGCTCTATGACTAGAGGAAGCAGTTTATCCTGCTTTAAGTAACATTTACACATTCTGCCAATCCCTGTAGTACACAATGAACATAGCTCTGAGTCATGGGATCGCCTGTCAGCAGCCATGGCAGAATCGAAGGCACTTTCGGTAATTAAAGGTAATTCACTTTAACTAGGCATGGTTAAAGGTCTCTCCAGCCAAATGGAGAATAACATAGATACTAGATTTACCATATCTACAAGGTAGAAACAAAAAGTTCTTACTGTCATTCCAAACACACAATATTCATTAGTAAATGCAATGAAGTTTTGCATGTAATCCATTTAGTCATGGCTTCTAGTTCAGTAAATTACATATTTATTGTTTGTTTTCATTGTAATACCCAGAAAACCATTTATTTGTTTAAATGCTGCTACTTACTCTTAAAGCTTTTGTTTTTTAAATAGCTGTAAGCAAATATAAGATATCGTCACTGAGATTAATAATAAAAATGAAATGGTCCAGTGAGCTGAAATACGAGGAATATTTTACTACGGAAATTGCAGATTTAGGAGCTTTCACCATAATAACTTCACATCTGAATATGGAAACAGATTCATCCTTACATTAAATCTCTCTTTTTAAAACCTTAGTATATACTAGAATACAGAAAGCTGCAGCAGGTATTTTGAAAGAGCATGGATGTGCATTTTCCTGAGTTCATACTTTCCAGCTGGGAGGACCCGGGTTATGCCCTCGGGGAACTGTCCCCATGCAGTCCCATTCACACACCTGCACGCTGCCCAGTCCCACCCCAGTGCAGGACACACGTAAACAGGCTTGTACGGCAACATGTCAGGAGCTCCTTCAGCTACATGCTTGTCCTCATTTCTCCTCTTCTCCGCCTTGCTGCCAACTGGGAAGGAGCTGAAGCCTTGATTCACGACCACTATTGACTCCCCATGTCTGTCCTCTTCCCACATGCCAGCACAACTCCCAAGTGTAACCCTCATGTCCCAGCGATCATCCCCATGAGATACATGGAGCCCTCTGGAGCCACCGTCACAGGGAAGAAGCAGTACAGAGCTTCAGTGGGGTGTGAGAGGTCCCCTAGGACAAGACCATCCACTGGATTTGCCCTCAGGGAGCCACAGCTCCAGTTTAAGAGAAGGCAAATAGCCAATATTCAACAGGAGATGAGTTGTACAATAAATGGGTCTATTTTAAACAGGCAAGACAGACTCTGGATGGTTTTCATGCAGAGCCACCAGTTCTTCCTCTACATTGTTCTGCCTCTGAGGATAATTCCTGCCTCAACACTAGTGCTGACCACTCAGTCCCACCACCTGCTATACCTTTCCCAATCCCATACAAGCTAGTGAAGAGTCTGCATTAGGCTCTTTCCCACCCACTGCTTGCAAACCAGACACCACAGCGGGGTGATGGGGTGATTAACCTGGAGCTCCCCCATTACTCAGACTTCTCACGACTGTGGCTGGATAGATGGTGCATCCCTATCTCTTTGCATAGCCAGATCAGACTATTTATTTTCTGTAAAGCCAGTTCACTACAAGTGACAATTTTGCTTCCTTGTAGAGACTATTTGCAGGTGTTATTCTGGGCTAAAGTATAGACAAATGAAAATCCCAGTGTGAAGGTTAACGTGGAAATCCTCCTGAGAGACTAATATAAAACAACGTGCATTTCCTCTACCAGGCTATTTAAAAGATGTCAAGCACACAGATGCCATTCTCTTCTGCTCAGGGACACTGTAACTGTGACCAGTGAGCCATACCGGGCAGAAAGAGCATTCCCAATGGCATAAAAGATGAAGGATTTGCTTCCAGAGTATCATCTCTGGAGACACAACATCTCCATCTTATGACAACCACTAGCAAGACTAGTTAATATTCAAAGCTAAGCAGAAAGCAAATACATCCAAACTACTAGCATTTCAATAGAGATCACAGTACCTAAAATGGCCACCACCTCGTCGTCCTGGATGACTTCTAGGGATCCTGAGACCACAAAGCAAAGAGCATCAACGCTTTCCCCAGCGTGATAGATGAGGTCCCCCGGGGCGCAATGGATCGTCTGAAACTCCACAGCCAGGGCTCGCAGGCAGCCGTCGCTAGCCAGCCGGAAGGCAGGGTGCTCGTTAAAAACTTTCCGGTTTAGGTGCACGCAAATATCTGCTCTCATGTCCTTTGGGCAAATTGAGAGAACCTGAATAAAAGAAAGATGAAAAATAATCAGCTGGGAATATGACACCCGGCCAGCGCGCGCTTCATGAAATACCTGAATTGATGGATCTTAAGACCCGCCTGGGTGGATTTTAAGATCCATCCATCCAGTTATTTCATAAAGCTTCTGGTGGGAGTTTTATCTTGAATTGGGGTAGTCTTTTTCTACCCATCTACTGCTTTCACTGCAGCTGAAAGGGTGATGTGGAAGAAGGGACTATCCTGTTACACTGTTCTCATTCCTAACAGTTTTCACACTTGTTTTCCAGAATTGCAGGTGGCACTACTATGTCCTGTTTGTGGGTATCCCTCCAGAGCTGGTGCCCAGACTATCCGCCCGCTGCTACGCTCAATCCCTGCAGGAGCACAGAACGGACACTCAGAGCTGAAGGAGCTTGAAGACATGCAAAGATGGACCATTCACAATAGAAAACACCACATTTTGCTCACATCCAGAAAACCTAGTCTTCAAAAGTCTTGATGTGGATGACCACTTACCGACACGTATCCAAACACACCTAGGGTTTAGTTTCAGTGCCGTACAGACATATAATAAGTAACCTGCCCTGGAGGGCTTACAGACTAGAAAATCCAAAGAGCTTGAGATTAGAGCAAAAAGAAAGTATTATGAAACCTTATGGAATGTAAAGTAAAGGTGAGTGAAAAACTGTCCTGTGAACATGAAGATGTCTTCATAGAGGATCAATTAAATAACACCTTCAATTAATTTCTTACCTTAAATAGCTTTCCCTATTGAAATAGTAACACAAATACACCTGAAGAAAGAAAGTGAAAACCTGTGGGTTTTGTTAGGTTTGTAAACTGTGTGTTTAATATTTGCACATCCTCCTAAACACACTAACGTCCTTATAACCCTAAAATGCGTAGTAGCTAATTGCACTGAGAAACATATAAAACCTTTTAAAGTTTTCCTAGGATAAATAATAGAAAAGACCATAAGATTAACAGCACTCTGGAAGTCTCATATAAAGAAGACTGCAGATCAATACTACTGATTAATTTCTCATTGTATGGAATTAATCTGGCAGCTTGCTCTGCAGACAGTGTGAGGGAAAGGGACGTTGGGTCAATGTGTTGACTACCACTGAATATTAGCAGAGGGAGAGTCTGGTAACCCTGACTAAGCTTTGAGGCAAATGGTCATGTTAATATTGAAGTAAAGCCACGATTTTTATTTCTGTTTAATGCAGAAGAGGTATAAAACATATTATTGTAAAGTATTACTAAAGGTCCTAAAGCATAGAATGGAAAATAGTAAGCAATTTTTAGTTTAATAATAACATCTAGTCCCTTTCTTATTTTAATAGATCAAAGTTCCTTTGCGGTCAAAGATACAATGAATGCAAAAAGGTGAAGCAGAAGTTATTCTTCTATCCTCTGTACTATGACAGTCTGAGGCTAGAAGGGGCTACTGCAACCATCTGCACTAACCTGTTGCACTCATAATTTTCATATCAATCCCAGAATACCTGGTAAAATTATAGCCTAGAAGGCCTTGATTTAATGTTTTCAAATTATATAGGGTAGTTTTTCCAATGGACAGCTACTCTCTTTTAAAACACGTGCTGTTTCTGAATGGATTTTTTTTTAATTTTCAGCCAACAGCCAGTGGATCTCATCATGTTGCTCAGATAAAAGACCTGTAATCATCGGAAATCTCTTCCACATGCAGGTGTTCATAGAATATGACCAGGTCATCTCTCGATCTTATCTTGAATAAACAAGAGAGGTGATGCTTCTTGTGCCTGACACTATGAAGCACAGTATCCCTCTGGAAACTTCCCCATAGCACGAGGTTTTCTCACTTACAACCACCTTCCCAGATCTACCAGATAATTAGGGTTTATTTGATTTAACACAGAATAAATCAATTCGGCTTAATGCTATTTTTCTGTAACAAAATGTTGTACAGAACACATTAAAATACCCTGCATAGTTCTGTTTTATCATAAAAATTAATAATAAACACATTTGACAAGACATATTCTCCATAAACCATCATTTGCATTAGTAATAATGTCTTGTCTGAGTCACTGTTGACCATATCCCATATCACATTTCCACAATTTTATTAGGGGCAAATGTCAGTTTTACAAGCTTATACTTACCCGAGTCATTCCATTTACCATTAGAAATATGGGCACACCTTAGTTTTCCCAGTAAAAAACAAAAATTACTTTTGAGAATGATTGTTTCACCTCAGCCCTACTTCTGGATCAAACAGAAAGTTCGTCTTTATTATAATAAAATAGAAACATGCCATCTTTCTTCTTCTCAATAGTAATTTAGTGAAAAATTCTGCTTTCTTTCATATCATGATTGATGATTAACATTTTTACCTACTCTTGGACCTAAATCATGGTTAGAAGTTTTTTACGTCCCTTTAATACTTTCAGTAATGTAAGTGATTTTGACTTAACAGAGCTATGAATTCTCAAACACTGCTCTTAAGAAAAATGTGTGTATTCATACATGACTAATTTCCAAATTTTATCTTTTAAGCTTCCAAACTGCAGGAAAAATTGGTTAAACTATTGCAGAGGTTGTTACTGTAAGATCTGGAAATGTTCCAGGACCCTTTGTTTTTTGGAGTGTAAATTAACTGTGTCCCTCAAGAATAAAAGCCACTTGGATGCAAAGCAGCATATTATTTCCTCACAAATACTGAGTTAAATACAGAGTATTAAAAGTGAGCACTTAAAAGCATTACTCTTTTTATAGACACAACAAACATATCTATCATCACACACTGTAATATGAAGAGACAGAAAAAATTCCATTGCACAGAAAAAGCCAGTCTTAGAAAGCATAATTCAGGAATTTTCTGATGTCATGATAAAGTGATTCTCCTAATGACATATTATGGAGATACATGGAGATATCACTTATCAACTAGTACAGCAGTAAATGAGTAATGATCCAAGAGTTAGCCAGGAACAAATATTCTTTATTTCAGTTTTCTTGTCTGCTATTCTCTGAGAACAGAGAATGAAACAGATGACAGCTAAAAGAAATACTTAATATTAAAAGATTTGGCAAAGGAGCTTTGACTGATAAAGATAAATGTAGATATACGTAGGGGAAAAAAAGAACAAAGATAGACAATCTCAATATTCAGCTATGTGTTTACTGTATGCTCCTAGCACAGGACTTCACAAGCTCCAACCTGACTTTGCAGCACTTCTTTTGTCTTTACAAATACCAACGTCATGAATTCAGGAGAAGCCTCACAGATGCCACCAGCTTCTTTATTAGTTGTATTGTAGAAAGGGGTTGTTGGTGACACAGATTACAGTATGTAGTAATTTTCCTGCTTCCAAAGAAGACACATAATGTGATACAGGATCACACAGAAGCATCTGGAAGCTAATGACAAACAGTCCAAAGATCCTAAGAGCAGAAAATGAGAAAATGAGCACTTCAAATTCAGATAAACATTCTTCTGAAAATGATCCCTTATTGATAATACAAGACTTCGATATTGTTACTGTGAAATGCTCTGAGATGTCAGCATTTTTAAGGCAGCATGCAACTAAAAAGATACAAACTAGAAGCAACGTGGTTTTACGTGAGTCCATATGGTGTACAAATGCACACACATGGGTGTAAAAGAGAAATTCAATGTAAGGGAGAGGATATCCTGTAATGCTTAATCTACTGTTTCACTGTTAGGGAAATGTCTCCAACACTTCCTGTTAACAGAACCAAAGTTCAGCTGGGACATTTGTTCTAGCCTGTGTATTCTTTCAGCAGCGATTCAAAAACCACCAAGACAAATTTCTGAAGAGGAAATTTCCTTAGAGATTTCAAGACCTTTCTCAGTGAAATCTGTAGTTTATAAGCAAGGCAGGATATTAAGGTTGCTGACTGCATTGCTTTACTAACTGATGGTTTTGGAGCACACGACTTGGAGCAGGCAGTCTGCAGGGACCAGATGCTTGTGCTGCTATAGAAGTTGCTCCGTAATAAATCTGTAGCCACAGACTTCACAGTCAGCTTTCCCATATGCATCCAAGCAGCGTGAAAGAACAGAACCTGCTATGTTTCAATGCAAAATCAGAGGAGAACGTCGAATTCTACCCAGAGGAAAATTTTCGCTGGCTGTATAAGCTACCAGAAATTCTGTACTTCTACCAGAAAAGGAGCAAGGCTCCATGCCACACATGAACACTACACATGTATCCACAAAGACCTGAAGCACTACAAAGCTGAGAGAGGAGAAAGTAAAGCACAGAACAACATTTATCCCTTCCCTTCTCTGCACAAAATTAAACCTCCTCGAAGTCAGTATAAGACAATTGCTGTGCTCTGCCATCATCACCTGGCACCCAGCTGATACAAACCCCAACACACCCAATGCAGAGATTCAACACCGCTGTCATCTCTAGAGCACTCTATGGCATACATAAAATGCTGGCGGTGAGTAAAAAACTTGTGGTTGCTGCTAGAGATTGGGAAAGGCAGGAACTAGCCCTGGAAGACTCATAGGGATTTGGCACAAAACAACTCACTATCTTTTCAGCTCGAGATGTGTAAGGGTGGAATAAAATTCCCAAGGAGGTTCCATCTGATTTTTTTCCTCTCCCATCCGTTTCCTCAGCATGCTCAGGCAGTTTAAGATAAGCCCCTTGAACAGCTCAAAGAACTCTATGGGGAGCAGAGATTATAGAGAATCTCAAAGAAAAGCAAATGAATCGAAACAAAGACTGTACAGATTAAGAGTGTGTCCAAACAGTATCTTTTAGGATGGGTTTAAGTATTTTTAAAAAAATCCTTCCCAGCTGGAAAACACTACAGGATGGCTTGACAAATATTACAGAACCTGTTAAGACTTGTTAACAAAAAGGGCAGAGGCCAGTGAATCACGAACGCTATCTATTTGCAATTCTCTTTCACCACACAGGATTCTCACTTTCTCGGGGTTGTAGCTAGGGGATATATTGACTGATATTCAAGCAAAGA